GGCACTAAGTGAGCAGCATCTTTAGCATTCAATGCTATCTAAGGTTGGTCTTTCCTGATACACCATGGCAAGAATCATCTGCCTATTTACTTCATCACTGCACCCATAGCTAGCTGACGGCGAGGTACCAACCACGAGTTGAATAAATATTAGGTGACTGACAGGGCTGCTGATATGACTTTCCTTTCGGAAACTTCCTTTCTCAGGCTTCTGTGGCTTTCTTCCTACTTGGATGACATCCCTTCCTCCACCTCCTTTTCCTTATAACTTTGGGCATTTTCACCAATTGATCAATCTGTCCATTACTGAAGCAATACTGGAGATAAAGAACCAGTCTGACATTGGGGTGTTTATATTATTTGTAAAAAACATAAATACACAATGGAATCACAAACAATATAACAATATAGCGTAATAATTATGAGCCAGGCTGCATGGCTTTTTAACTCTCTGTGCTATACTTAATTTTCTTGTGTATAAATGGATTATGGTAGTAGTTCCTACTTCATAAGGTTGTTGTGAGGATTAAATTATATAATACAGTTGAAGCACTTCAAAGAGGGTCTGTATACTGTAAGTGCTCACAAAATGTTAACATGTAAGATAATATATAAATCATTAGTAAGTGTTGTAGAAAGTCTCCTTTTAAGAACTTTTTTCCCAAAGAGATCTAGTCAATTTTCAAAACCTGTTTTTCAAGTATCCTCTCCAGATTTTTCTTTATCATTTTGACTTACCACTCCATTGTCTCAGGAATCACGGGGATATTACCCTGTTTAGGACATTGAAGATTTGAGAAACGGAGAACAGGAGCCTCAAATAACAGCCAGCATCAACCAGCTGTGAGGCATGTAAGGGGGGCTTTGTCCTCCTGACCCAGACAACCCCACAGCTGGCTCCCTGCTGCCACATGAGAAAACCTAGGTGAGACCTACTGAAGAATTGCCAAGCCAGCCCACAAAATGGTGAAAAATAACAAATAATAGAAGTTGCTATTTTATGTCACTAAGTGTTGGAGTGGCTTGTTTCACAGCAAAACATAATCTAAATATCACTATTAATCCAGCCATGCAGAGTAAACATAACATTTTGGTGAATATTCAAAATCTAGGCATTATACATATACACAAATATATTTTATATATTTAGAAATAGTTTTACATACAGCTATTTGCACTTTGTAAAACTCAAAGTAGGATAGTTTGCGTAGTGTGTATTAAAACAGCTTTCTAAAAAAAATTAATCATATATTTTGAATTTTTGTATAATTATAATTGCGTATAATTATTTTTGGTGGTTGCATTGCACATCATGGTTTATTAGCCAGTCCCTTGCTGATACATATTTAGCCTGTTGCTAACTTTTGGCCACCATAACAAAAGGTTTATTTAAGTTAATCAGTATTTTGGTTAAGTATCATCTAATTGCTCTTCAGAAAGATGTACCAATTTACATTCTTACCATGAACGATTCAGAATTCTCTTTTGTCTGTGCTTTTACCAACAGTGAGTATTGCCTTTTTAAAAGACAATCTTGTATGGGCGCTGTGGCTCACGCCTGTAATCCCAGCACTTTGGGAGGCCGAGGCTGGTGGATCATGAGGTCAGGAGTTCAAGACCAGTCTGGCCAAGATGGTGAAACCCCATCTCTACTAAAAATACAAAAATTAGCTGAGTATGGTGGTGGACACCTGTAATC